TAAAATTTTTCTACACTTCAATTGAGGTGTTGGTTTCACCAGTCAATACATCTATCTAAACTTATCAAATTGGACAATTAAGATATAATGCATTTAACTGTATATCAATTTCACTTTCGCTTTTTAAAGTACAAGAATGGGAAGTGCCATGCAGACGATATCCTATTCCTCCCACCCCCTTTTCAAACACAAAACATGGGTGCAAACAAAGCCCTGTCAGCCACGGAAAGACTATAAGACTCTTCGTGCTTTAAGCAGTCTTTAAAATGTCTGCCTTGTTAAAAGTGGAACAAATTTAGCATAGTTTCCAAGATTCCTAGTAGAATACCATCCAATTTCTGACTTGGAATAAAAGGAAAATGGACACTTAGTTTAAATCTTACTGTCACGAGCCCTAGGGTTAGCCAGTGTTAACTGGTGCGGGGAATATACTCTCAACAGGAATACCATTTCTCCTTGGAAGAATCCTAAAGAAAAACTAAGAGGGTGTAGATTGATCTAACTTTTCAAACATAGTTTAAGATCAATCTCGGGTATATAATTCACAGCATTATTCTGAGGATGTCTCTGAAAACTCCTAGAATATTCTTTCTTTATATCTGTTGTATCTGTTACAATTTACAAGTGGGAACGGCTCAGTTAATTGGAGCATTGTCCTATAAACTGAAAGAAAGTCTGTCGGTTTGATTCCTGGTCAGGCCACATTGCCTGGGTTTTGGGTTCAGTCCCTGGTTGGAGTGCATGAGAGAGGCAACTGATCAGTGTTTCTTTCTCACATCAATATTTCTCTCTCTCCCTCTTCCTCCCTCTCTCCCTCTCCCTTTCTCTCTGGAATCAGTGAATATATCCTTGGGTGAGGATTTTAAAAAATAATAAATAAATAAAATAAAAATGGAGTGTATAATTTATTAAGTTTTTATGTAACCTTCCTCTGACCAGAAGTAAATGCTTTTTACCATGTCTAATCTCCATCTTTTCCCTTCACAGTTTATGACCCTGGTGTCATGCTGAAACATGCCTTCACTATGTCCAAATCATAAAAATAACAAATTTTCTAATACATTCCTCTGGGTAACTTAATATTTTCTTCTAATTTCTCCTATTTTCTCTTCTGATGATATTACAGCTTTTTTTTAGTTGCAACATTTTTATTTAAGTTTATTTAAGATTGTTAAGATGAAATATCTTTAAAATTCAGAAAGTGTTTAGAAATATCACTATCACTTAACTCCACCCAGATTTAACAGATTTTTAGGACATCTTATGATATTTGCTTCATTAAAAAATTAAGTAAATGAATATAATTAAGCCCTTTCCCCTCCCTAGAACTATCCATTGGTGTTTTTCCTGTACATAGTTGAGAACAAAGGAAACAAATATGAAACACTTAATATATTGAAAGAAAGCATTCGCAAAGACTTGAGTTAACAGAAAAATAGAACATGCAAAATTGATAAAAACCAGTGAAATAACATGTCCAAGGTCACACAACTAACAATTGGTAGAGCTGGACTTTGAATCCAGACCTGCCTCACTCTCAAGCTCAGTTTTTCTTCCTCCCACATATGTGTCAACTAGCCATTAAACAGGAATCTCTTTACATGCAGTGTAGTACATTGGATTGAATCGTAGATCAGAAAAAGGGACATTATTGCCCTGCCTCGTGTGGCTCAGCGGATTGAGTGCCAGCCTGTAAACTAAAGGGTTGCCGGTTCAATTCCCAGTCAGGGCACATGCCTGGGTTGCTGGCCAGGTCCCCAGTAGGGGGTGTGCGAGATGCAGCCACACACACACACATCTCTTTCTCCTTCCCATCCCTTCTCTCTAAAAATAAATAAATAAATATATTTTTTTAAAAATCTTTTCTTAGAAAAAAAAGAAAAAGGAACATTAGAAAACCTGGTGAAATTCTAATAAAACCTGGAGTTTAGTTAATAGTAACACACCAATGTTAATAATCTCTTCGTTTTGATAATTACAACATGAATATGTTAAGATGTTAACGCTACAAAAATGGTTAGAGGGTATGCAGGTGTGCAATTTTACTGTGAGTCTAAAATTATTCTAAAATAAAAAAATATGTTAAAAATAAAACAAATATCCCAAAAATGGTACCTTGGGTTCTATTCTTAAAACTTATAAGTAAAAGAGATTTATTACATAAAGTCAAAGTTTAATAAGGGCATGCTTTGTATTAAAGACTTTGATTATAACAGATTCATTGATTATAACAGGTTCAATGACTTTAAAAATAAATAGCTGCATCAAATATATAGCTTTTTTGAAAATATTTCTTGAATAATTTTTTGCACACCATTTTTCTTTTCATGTAGATAAAAATATAGAATGCTATAAATAGTAGTCTTTTAAAACATAAGGTGATTTGGTTGTGATGAACTCCTCTCAATTTCTGCTACAGACAGGACAAAATTTCTGGGTTTATAACAGCAAGAATTAAACTTAGAGGATTAATAGAACTGCCCAAATTAAGGAGCTGTCAAATGAAAGCACCAGGACTTCAGAAATAAATGAATCCTAGGAGCAGAAAAGCTGAAGCATATAATTAAATAGAAAACGCAGAGGGGCGGTTGACTAGGCAAGGGAATAGAAAAAAATACTGAAAAAGAAGAAGAAAAAAACAAAATAAAGGATGTTAATGAAAATCAGGGGTTATGGTGTCTCTAAGTATTGAAATGTGATGAATTATGGAATGTGGGAAACAAGAGTAAAATGAATAGTAGTACATCAGGTCATATCACTGCCTCACTCAAAGCCTTCCAGTGACTCCAGTCACTCAGCCCATGAGCCAGAGATCCCTGGGGCCCTTGATGACTTCCTCTCTGCCCCTGATCACTTCTCTGACTTCATCTTCTATCCTTCATACCCCGCCCCCTACTGTCCTCCAGCCATTCTGTCTTCAATGTTTTTCAGGCACTCAGGCCTTTGCACTTGCTCATCTCTCTGCCTAGAACGTTCCTCCTCCAGATACCACCATGTTCACTCCTTCACCCTCCTCAATTTTTGCTCAAGTGCTAACTTTTCAGTGATATAATACTATAAACACCCCATTCAAAATACCGATCCCCTAGAATTCCCAATCTGTCCTCCTTGATCTTACTTTCTCAGATCTTACTTTCTCATCATCTAACACACCTAATCACAGCGAATGTCTGTTTCCACAACTACTAGAATGCAGGCGCTCAGAATTTTGCATGTTTTTTTTCCTCTGATGTTTCTCCAATGCCTAGAATGGTACTGGGCACATAGTGGGTGCTCAATAAATATTTGCTAAATCAATCAATACATAAATATGATTTTTTCATTATCATCATTAAAGTAAGTGTAATAAAACACTGGAAACTTTCCAACATTATTTTTTGAGCAACCAGAGTCATCTTTTTATTTGTGTTTTCTGGGTATTTTCTGCACTGAATAATTACTTCAATAATGTTTTAAAAGAGGGTTTTGTTTTGTAGATACAAGAGAGTTATTTGTCTATGATGATTTCTTCTCAGACCCATTCACTGTCAGAGTAAGAAAAATACATTCTTTAGAGGCCTGTTCTTTTTAGGAGCTTAAGTAACATTCAGTTATTACCAGAAAGAGCTTCTCCTGATCATAAAAAGTTTATATGAGCCAATGTTCAGTAGAATGATACACTAAGCTAATGGAATCATATAATTCCAACCTCCTCATTTAAAAATACAGAAACTGAGACCTAGAAAAGTTAAGTTACTTCCTCACAGTCAGCTGGAACATTGCCGATGAACAGGGACTAACCCTAAACAAAAGACTGAAACACTGAGGAGTCACCTAGCCCTAAACATTCTACAATGCAGTAAAATTCCAGATTGAAAATTTTTATTTCACCATTTGACTAAGCCTTCATTTTCTCCAGCTTATTTCCAATTCATTGCCCAAAAATGCGTATGAGCAGTTGCTTTGTATTATTTGAACATTCAAGATTCTCTGTGCATTAAGATCACCAGCAGAGCAAACACTGTGATCATCTAAGTATTTTAGCATGCGCAAGGGCCGTGACCTTGCAGGACCCATGCAACATTCAGCTTCTTCCTCCAGCCTTTTGCTTTCCCTGCTCGGGGAAGTGTGACACCAGCATATTTCTACAATTTCTTTCTCTTTTCAGTGGCCAGATAATCATTTAACTCTCAAAAAATCAAATGGAAGCAGCCTTCACAATCTAAAAATGCATCACTTTTCTTTTTCAAAAAGCTAATTCTTTTGCTGAAAAATTGCACATGGGCTGTTGGTTTGTCATAAGTGGGGAAAAAGTCTGGCATGATATATTTTTTTCCAGAGGTAGCAGTAGCAGCAGTTAATCCACACATGTTCATTCCCCGAGTCCCCAGACAGTCATCTCTGATGTTAGAGTAACACCCAGGCAGACACTTAGGCAAACACAGACTATAAAATGAAGTTGAAATGGACCAAAACAACCATATTGATTTTGAGTACAATTCAAAACAAGATTTTTTAAATGGCACATGCTGAAGAGGATAGGGAGATATGCACTGCAGATAGTCAAGAGCAGGAAAAGGATTAAGACAATGACAGTAGCCAACATCTTAGTGTTCTTTTACATTGTTTGTTTTTCAGGTTGGAAGAGCTGAGAAGCTTGACTTATGCTGAACTGTCTTTATCTGAAAATCTAAGATTGCTCATTTATGGATATTGTGCTCCCAGCTTGATGCCTGGGCATCCAGTAGACCTTAATAAAATAAAGCCTATTACCCTTTGAACATTTGAACATCTTCTTCTGAGCCCAAATAGTTATCTTTCTTAATCAATCTCTCTCTCTTCTCTTTCTGCAAATGGCCGAGCTGTCTATACTACATTATAAACACATTATCTGCAGATACAGCATTCAGTTTGCTGCAAGCAAATATTTTCCTTATTTATCCTTAATGAGAAAAATGCCTTTCAAGCCAGACACCTTTGGAAGGGAGGTTCAGAACCAGGCCAGAGCAGCCCGGACTTACCATGGCCCCCTCACTTCTTCTTTGGGCAACTTCTCGCTGCAGTCGGGCCACAGCCAGCTTCTCCCTGGAGAAACAAAAGAGCATGATTACTTGGCCATTTTCTTGGGGCAGAGGGGCACGGGCATGGCTCGGAAACATTCTTTTGAGGTCTCCAGAGGAACTCCTTCCTTGGTTTAGCTCACTTCCTCTGCTAAACTTTCTATAAATATTTAAAGTGAATGGTCATCAGTGCATTGTTTTCATTGAGTGTCATGGAAGTGATTTTATTTTTTGCCTTGGATTTTAAAATAGCCAAATAAATGTTGAATGTTGAATGAAAGCTTTACTTTAAATTCATTCATGTATATCATTTGTAAATGAATTTTCTGTGTCTTTCCTGTATCAACTTTGCTCATATATATTTTAACTATTTTTATTTCTTTGTTGCTCTATGTTGATACTGAACTTTAAAAAGCAAAGAAAACATAACTGTATTATTCTTGAAATGGTAAGAGAAAAACATTTGCAGGCTTGCAACGTAACAGGCATTGTGCTGGGCCTTTTACCTGATCTTACAGGAGCCCAAAAATAATAGGTTTTATTATCCCCATTTTATAGATATAAAAATAGGGGCTCAGAAAGGCTAAGTAACAAGCCGAGCCCCCAGCTGGTAGATAGTATATTGGGATCAAAATTAGGTTTCCTTTACTTCAAAGACTAAATAAAAATTTTACATATCATTTTTCAGGGTCTAGGAAATATGTAGAATTAAAAATCAGATTATTTATTTTATAATGGGGGTTATTGGCTATCTTTTATCATTGTAATTCTGATTTCACATCCAAAAAAGCTACTATTCACCAAGGTTTTAAGGATATTTTTTAAAAGTGATAGATATCTGCATTTTAGACAGCTATTCAATTATCCTTTGAATGGTAGCTAAACGAAATAATGGTAGGTAAACTCTTCCAGCCATCCTTAAATCTTAGTTTTAGCAAGGATTTTCCCTGAAATGTCTCTCCTGCTAAGAAGATGTGAAACTATTTAAAAGATACTTCATCCCTCAGCCTTCCCTCTACACAGGATCAGCTACCTGCAAACAGCCAAGAAGCAACTCAGTTCCCTGACAGTGAGAGGGCCTCTCCCCTCTTAACTGCACAGGCCTCTGCCGATGACAGCCAAGAAGGCACGTGCTCGGTCAAGATGGCAGCGTAGGTGAATACGACACCTGCATCCTCCCACAACCACATCAAAACTACAACTAAACTACAGACCTGTCATTCAGAACTGCCTAAGATCTAGTTGAACAGAAGTCATATAACTAAGAATATGAAGAAGAAGCCACATAGAGACTGAGAGGAGGGGTGGAGATGCAAAATGGGTTGGCCCCACACCCCACATGTGGTGGTTAAAAATTGAAGGGATATCTCAGCTACAGAGGTGCCTCCTGAGGATCAAGGATACCCAGCTCCACGTCAGAACTACCAGCCCAGTGCTCCAATGCAGGGAAGAGAAGTCCCCATAACTTTTAGCTGTAAAAACCAGTGGGATGTGTGGCTGAGAGAGACAGAGGGCTGCTGGATTCCTACGCGTTCCTCTTAAAGGGCCTGTGCGCAGACTGACTTACTCCCTCTGAGCTCCAGCACTGGGGCAGCAGCTTTAAAAGGGACTGGGGTTGTACAGGGAAGAACTTAATTGTCTGGCATCAGGGCCAGGACTGGAGGGGCAGCTCTCTCCCAGACAGAAATGCTGGCAGAGGCTACTGTTCCTTTGCTGCATGCTCCCCCCTGACAGAGGTGCCATATTTGAGTCTCCATCAACCTGGCTACCACTGTTTGCCCCACCCTGCTTATTCCCTATACCCTGCCTCACCCAGCTTGCAGGCCCACCTAAGCTGTTTCCAGTGGCTTTTTATACCAACAGCTGTCTTGGCTCATACTTCAGACTTTCCTAAAATCACTTAAACAAGCAGCATCTGGCCTTGGCATGCCCCATACTCCTCACTAAATGGCTCCAAGCCCAGCACTAGTGGCAGCTAGTCTTGGTTCACAGCTTGGCCTCTCTTGGGCACCTCCAAGCCCAGCACAAGTAGCAGCTGTCTGCAAATCGTTTTGTAGTTCATGCTGGGCGGCCCCAGGTAGAAGAGAGGTGGCAGCTGACCTTGGCGTGCACTTCCTGGGAAGCCCCAGAGCCACCTCTGCAGGTGACACACTCAAGGGCCACACTCAATGTAAACTAGAGCCCTGCTGAAGTAAGTCCTGCTGTGTGGGACAGGCCCTGGCACAGCTGATTCTCCACAGTGGTCACAGCCAGTCTTTGCAGCCAATCAGCCCCTGGGGGTAAACCCCTCCCATTGACATGCCAAATTAATCTATAAATTCTTTCTCACTGGGATGTATACCTTCACCCAACTAAATAAAGAGAAAGACATAAGGAGCAAGAAAGAAAAAATCCTATAGAGAAGAGGAGAAAAAAAAATTTTTTAAAGATGGCCCAGGATAAACAGGTATGCAGGAATCTAGAGGAACCAAACCCGTTTTCAGCAAGAGGATGGAGGGTCTCCAATGGATGACTCCCAGAAAAAACAGTGGATCAAAATAAATTAATCTATGTGTTTGTAAATATTGAGAGGACTTTTTGAGTTTCAGGGGGAAAGTCTCTTAAGATTCAGGGACTGGAATGTGAAAATCTAACCCAATAGAAATTATTAACTTGTGGAAAGAGCAAAGTCATTCAAGAAATGCAATCCTAGAACTCTACTAGACTCAGTTATGAATACTATTTATGTCACTTTATTATTATTATAATTAATTAACTAATTAATTTTTAACAATAAAAAAATTAGAGAGAAGGGGAAGTATAGAGAGATAGGTGGTATAGGAGCACTAAGTCTTTATCTTTTATAATAGGAAGACAATTTATAATGTCCAAAATTGATAAATCTAAAAATAAAAGTACAAATATGTTTTGTAGATACAAGGATGAAAAATCTAGAAGATAGAGCTAAAAAATGGAAAGTGGTTTGCAGGGCAAAGATGTGGAGGTAGGGAGGAAGGGATGAACATTTTATAAATATTATCACTACATTTGATTTCCAAACCATGTACATGTGCTACTTTGATTAAAAATTTTTCAAAAATATGTGTATTTTGAAACTTGTTGGATCACTGCCTTTTATTTTTACTAAAAATGCTATGATGATACATTGAGAGACAGAGATACAGGTGAGGGATGAGAGAGCTAGAGATGAGGAGCAGGGTTAGAAAACTCGACAGATTATTTACAAACTGAAAACTCAGCACCAAGTGATCCACCATCATGGCCCTGAAAAGAAGAACCTAATTATAAGCTTTGATAGATAGCAGAAAAATAAGAACTAACTAGAAGCATCAAGGAGCCTTCAGATAAATACCTTGAAGTACATACTGTAAGCAGTTCAACACGGTATGGTGATATTTTAAATTTAGGATTTTTAACTTTTGTATTTTTTCATTAAAATGCAAAATATACATAGAAATTATGAAATCATAAGGTCACTGCTTGATGAGTGACCATGAAGTGAACATGTCTTTGTTGCCACCACCTAAGTAAATAAGCAAAACCCCAGAAGCTACTATGCTGCCAATGATCATAATTAAGATATTAATATAACAATACCCAAACTCATCTGCCCCACAGTTTCCTTCGTAGAGTGAATACAGACCCATTTAACTTCTAATTTAAACTATATTATACAGTCTTATATTTTGCATCAATCATTTAACCAGTATGTTTTCCTTTAAATAAGCCCATAAATTTCTCCTCAGCCACAAGAGTGGCAGGCAAAAGAATGCTGATTGGTGTACTTTTGCACAGGGTCAGTTGTGGTGTAGTTAATACCTCCCTGTAACAACTGCTTGTTTGAATGTTGAGATTATATTTAGTTCATCTCTATAAACACCTAGTAAGGGCCATTCAGTAGGAACAAAATGTTTGTGATTTGTTGAATGAGGAAATCAGTCACACAATCTAATATTAATTGCCTAGTATAATAAAATTTTAACAATACCACTGTTTTGCACCGACATGTTATACAACACATATGCTTACACACAAAATGATTCCCATAGAGCACCTTCTGGTTCTGGTGGCCATAAAAGCTTGTTTACATACATTTAAAATTTTGAAAGTCACAGCTTCCATTGGCTACCCCATAAATAGTAACTAAGCTTCAACAAAATGAATCTCTATATAAGGACGTTAAATGAGGAGGTAGTAGAATAGCAGTTGTCAGACATTTGAGTCAGAAGACCCCTCTGTACTCTGAGAAGTTACTGAGGTCCCAAAAGAGCTTAAGTTTACATGGGTTATATCTATTGACATTTACCACATGTAAATGAAAGCAGATAGCTTTAAAACCTTTATTTATTAATTCATTAAAAATAGTAACAAACCCATGTTAACACAAATAAAACATCTTTATGAAAAAGCAAGCCTATATTCAAAAAAATAAAATAAATAAAATCATGAGAAGAGAGATACTGCTTTAAAATGTTGCAAATATTTTTAACATCTGGCTTAAAAGAGGACAAATGGATTCTCCTATCTGCTTCTTCATTCAACCCCTTGAGATAGCATATCACGTAGTTTGTAGGAAACTCCACTCTACTCTCATGTAAGAAGGTGAGTAAAAAAGGGAAATAACACTTAACGTTATTACAAAAATAGCTTTGATGTTGTAGATTCCTTCAAAGTGTCTCGGGAGCACCCAGACCACAGGACCACACTTTGAGAACTTTGCCCAGAAGATATAGAACTAGAAATGAAAGAATGTTCTGGAAATTTTGTTGGAATCATCATTCCTGATTGCTGGATCTCCAGAGAAATATTTAATATATATGCTAACAGCACGTTAATTCTTTGCAAAGCAGTTAAGCATAAAGAAGACCTTTCTAGAAACAGTAAGAGACTAATGTTAGCACTATCACTCTTCTAAATGATGGGTCCTAATATAGTTTAAAGGTTAGAAACATCACTATTTTAATCTTAAAAGAGATTGCCTTTATAACACTATTAGGTATTATCATGAGGTCCGGGTGCTTGTCA